AGGCTTGAACCTGGCCAAGACACTGTAACCGCGCTCCACAGCCTAGACACCAGTAAAGAACGCAAAGGTGGTCAACGTGAGCGTGCAGCTTGAGGTAAAGGCTCAATCAGCTGGGCACCGAGATGATCGTCACCAAGGCTGGCAGGTCAGGGCACCCCTCTCCCTGCTGCGACCCTCCCCACGTGGCGCCAGTCTCGGGCAGCGGGGCAGCTCCTTCGCTCTCTGAGTTCCGGCTCTAGCGGCAGCTGCCTGGCACACTGGGCCGGAGGGTACTGCTCGGGATGCCAGGAAGGCGGCGGAGAGAAACCCTGTGGACCTGCCTTCTGACCAGCAGTCCAAGACCCGGCACCGCCAGAAACAGACCGGCTCAGAGAACACTGAGCTTGGGGGGAAGGCAGCCGCCTGTGAGGGGCCTTGCCACCAGCCGGCTCCCGGTGGATCCCACCTCAAAGAAAACTCGGTCTTTGGTTCCTTAGTTCAGTCTATCCCAGCTTAAGAGGAGCAGCTGGGCACATTTTAGGGGAAAATTAAGACTCTAAAACAGTGTGTTCTGTTCTGTGGAGATTGCTACCCAATTGTTTTAGGTCTAAATTCTGGGTGATTGTGGGGCCTGGCTCTGCCACTGGGGTCCACGTCTTCCAAGTGGCCTGTATTTGTTGTAAGGGCCCAAAGAGAAGAAGGGGAACAAGTTTTTTGATGCAATGAATTTGACCAACAAAGGCAAGTGCCGGGCTGTGTCTAATGTACACAGAGAGACACCAGCTCTGAATCCGCCTGGCCAAAGGGAGCTCAGGGCCTGTTTGCAGAGCCTTCTGGTGGTTTCTGTTTCCTTGCTGAGGCCATCCTCCCTGGGAAGCCTTGGGCCCATGCTCAGCTCCAGGCCCCTCCGCCAGGCCGGCCCCGCCCCTGATTGGCCCCCCTACCCCGATCAGGGGCAGGGCCAGCCAGCCAACCTCCTTTGGCCCCTCCCCGGGCTGGCCTGGCCTGATCGACCCTGATCAGGGCAGGCCGGCTGGACCCCACCCGTGCACGAATTCATGCACCGGGCCTCTAGTCTATATATATAAAAGCCTAATATGCAAAGTGTCCCCTCAGGAGTTCAACTGATCAGGAGTTCGATCGCTCACTATGATGTGCACTGACCACCAGGGGGCGGCGTGGAACCAAGGAAGGCCCCAGCCAGCAGCCTGGGAAGGGAGGCCTCGGCTGGCAGCTGCTAGGGACCCTACCTCTTTGTGAATTTCGTGCACTGGGCCTCTAGTGTTTTCCATAAGCCTGAGATTTCCTCTCCCAACCCTGTCTCTGTATCTTCCTATTCTTCATGACCTACTTGTCTGTACAAAGCCTTCCTTGATCTCCCCACCTTCAAAACCAGAAGTATTATCTCCTTTCTCTCAACTTCTGAGGGAAAATGTGTATCAACCAGAATTCTGAATCTTGCTAAACTATCCAATAAAAGCCAGTGATAGACATTTGCAGATCAACAAAGACTGAATGAGTTTGCCACTCATAGATCTTCTGAATGAAGAATACCTTCCTAATTGCATATCCAGGGACCTATGTTGTCAGCTTGTGATGGGCTAAGGTGAAAGTATTTACACCATAGAATTAGCAAATGCTACAAAATGGGACTATTTATTTCCCTTAAAGAGCCAGTTGATCTGAATGTCAATTGGTGGCCCTGCTACATGCATATATGTTTGTGTGTATGTCACCATGTACAGACAAATACTTGATACACTATGAATGTTGGACAGGCAACACTGCACTGTCGGTCGGCAGTCCTTCCTCCTTAGGCTGCTGGGAAAAGCCATGTGGTTGGAGTGGCTAGGAAGCTTGGCTTTCCATACTATCGTCCCATCCTCCTCTCCTCTCAGGGTCTGGAATTGCTTACCTATGACCCCACCGCCTTCTTGCTTCTGTGTCCTTGGCAGACTTGGTCACTTCCTGGAATCGGAGTTAATATACTAATTGAGGATGTGTGCATCTGCAGTTGCTCAAAGTTCACTCTTTGAAGTAGCGAATCTTGGCCTGGCTACACAGACATCAGTAAATGGCCTCCTGTTTCTGTTCATAATTGGCCCTTACAAATTGGTGAAATGCAGGGCAGTAAGACGCCTGTGTCAGGAACAGACTTCTGCCAACTGCTGTCTGTGAATATACCTGCTGCCGACTTTCCTCCAGCCCTCAGAGCCAGGGAGGAGTGGTTCTGTGTTCTGTGGGGGAGTTGCCCTCCCTTGGGCACGGAAGCCAAGGTCAGATGACTAGGAGCACAGACTAGGAGGGAAAAGGCAAGCCAAGAGACAGGAAGCAAAGTGTGGGTCAGGACTAGGGAAGCCGGTAAACTGAGGTCCCCAAGCTGGCAGTGGAGGTGTGAGTGGCTGGGAGGAAGGAGATGAGCAGAGATGGGAGAGACGGGGGTCTGAGAGAGGGTCCATGAGCCTTGTGGTTCCTCTGCTGGGCTCTGCCTCAGGTGGCAGCTTCCTGCTGAGCTGGGTCAGGCAGAGGTTTCCATCCTGGCTGTGGAGAAAGTGGGTCTTTTCTGTCTTTTGGTCGGAAAACAGTATCTTCTAGACTGAGTGCTGCCTTTCAAACTCCATGTTGTCACGCCCGTGGCCATTGCTGGTCTCCTACTGAGATTACTCGGGTAAAAGTGCCTAGCACACTGCTGGGACAGAAGGGGGCTGAGGGAGGGGTCACACAGTCATGAGGTGTTTAAAATGGTGGGTGTAACTATTCATGCCCGTATTGGTTTCTGACGAAGTATACAGGACTGCATTGGTTAGGTGTGAATTATAATTATTTTTTCAACAGACGTTGCCTTTCTTCCAGTCCCAGCCTTCCAAAGAGACTCACTTTTTACTTTATTCCTTCAAAGCTTTCATTGATTTCTTATATCATGTGTTTATTTTCTGCCCCTGGATGACCCCTTTCTGAGCATTTTTCTGGAGAAACCATTAACAGGTGGTGGTGTTGGATCAGGGCTTCTGTGTGGGGGATGGAAGTGAACCCGAGAGAGATCACAGGGAAAGGAAAGGGTATCCCAGATTATCAATCAAATCTACCTTACGGCACCAGATTGGCTTCCCTTCTTAATCATTAACTTTTCAGCTTAATAAAACTCTGGCAGTTGTGCTGCTTTCGAAAGAGCATGTCTGGTTTTGACAATAAAATTGCTTTTAAGAGTGGAGCTGGGTGGGGGCGGAGTCCCAGTGACGCAGGAGGCCTGGTGATGGTCTCTGTCGTGGAATTGCTCTTGGGCTGTCCATGTATACTGGCTGCTGGTATTGGCACAGACACCTTGCAGGACATTGCTTTGCTTAGAGAAAAGGCGCATTAAGAGTGATGCGCTCGCCTAACCAGTTTGGCTCAGTGGATAGAAGTGTCCTGTGGACTGAAGTGTCCTGGGTTTGATTCTGGTCAAGGGCATGTACCTTAGTTTCGGGCACATCCCCAGTAGGGGGTGTGCAGGAGGCATGTGATCGATATTTCTCTCTCATCAATGTTTCTGACTCTCTATTCCTCTCCCTTCCTCTCTGTAAAACATCAATAAAAAAAGAAAAGAAAAAAGTATAATTCTTTTTTAAAAAAGAGTGATACGCTCAACTTGAGTGTGACACTTGTACCCACAGACAGTGGTGACACACTGAAGGGACTTCTCAGTGGTCAAGGGGCTTAAGGCCGCGAGGCCCCGAGCTGGCTTTGGTTGCACCAGGCCTGCTGGAAGGACCCACTGTCTGGAGGCGCCTCGCCAAGAGAGCAGGGGAGCGAAGCTTTGCCCTCCTGAGAACCCATCACAGAGGCCAGGAGCCTTGGATGAATGTCATCAGAGCGCTCAGAGTTTTCTGCTGGCTGTTTGCTGAGAGGCCAAAGTCCCCAGTGTCTTTTCTGCACAGATGATGCCGGCGGTGGGAGGGGAATCACCCTTATAGAATGAAAAGAATGTCAGCAGCTGGTGGTGATGTTTTGGAGAAAATTCATGCCATCAGGAGTTAAGCATGGGGAGAGGGGAAGAAAGGAGAAAGGTACAATTTTTAGTTTTTAAAAGTATAAAGTGTCGGTTTTCCTGTTTGTGTTTTAACTGATAAAGATAAATGGACCTCTGGCCCTTGGGTCATTGCGATGTCTGTGGTCCTGTGAGTTGCTGAAGGTGTCCAATCGGACTGACAGGGGCCACCGTGGTGTGTTGAGTGTGGATAAGCTTCCAAATAGTGACTGCAGCCTCTTATAGAGAAAAACAAAACGGGATCCGTGGAGGGGAGGCCAAGACCTTCAATCCAGTTGTCTAACGACAAGTCATCTTTAGAAATCTAGGCACAGTGATTAGAAATGCACACGTGGGCTTTGCGCTTGCAGCCAAAGGCAGTCAGACAGCATTGGCCGGTGAGCTGCTGAGCTCGTGCCTGACCGTGGGGAATTGTCATGCCGGGCGTTTCTTTGAGGAGATACAGTTGACACGCGTGATCTATTCCTAGTAAGCACGGGCAAGAGTAAGCTGTTTATTCCTCACACTAAAGCATGAAGGTAAGAAAAGTAGATCTAAATATAGGAACACCTCTTAAGCTATAGAAATGCTTTAGCTTCCACACTTGAGAGAAATTTTTAGTCTTCTGAATTTTCAGAATAACAGCCTCGCATGATGCCCAGCACATGGTAGGTGCCCTGTAAGTAGTTACTGAATTCAGGTGTTTCCTCCCATAAAACAGTGCATGCTTGTTGTAAAAATCCATGCATTTAAAGTAAAAATAACCCGAAATCCCACCATTTAGCATTTGGGGATATAGCCTCCCAGACATTATTAGTGTATATAGAGGTATGTATCCTTTTACAAAACCAGGATTGTGCGGATATGGTGTTTTAAAAACTGTCTCCAGATCGATAAGGTGGATCTTTCTGTTTAGCATCTGCGAAGTGGCATATGTACTATCCTGTGTAAGAAAGAATTTGTCATTTCTTGTCGTTTCAGACGTGAGACATCTCATGCGCTGTCCTTTATTTAGCAGGTGTCTTCTGCGGAGGTACGCATTGGGCCCATGAGACTGACGCAGGATCCTATCCAGGTACGCCTCCATTACGCAGTCGGGGCTTCGTTCCCGGAGCACATGGTTACATGAGCAGCGTCTGAGCAGCCCTTCTGGTACTATGGTAGATAGCCATCCTTGCCCCTACATACATGCCTGTACATAATACACAGTGTGTGTATATGGATCTTGCTTGCTTTTATTAAAGTCATACTAGAAAAATCAAATTGGTTTTTTTTTGCAGTCTTAAAAATTGCCCCATTTTGAGTCTAAATATAATTGCATGATGGACTATGAAGGAGAACATCTCTTCCACCACCAAAGTAGTCTGCCCCAATCCTGCTGCAGTCGGAAAGGGAAGGGGTGTGCGTGCTGAAGGGCGGGGCTCTGCCCTGAGCCACAGCTGGGTGTGAATCCTGCCTTTAACCAGCTGGGGGACCTTGCATATATTGCTCCATTTCTCTACCCAGGGCCCTGTGTGGAAAGCGGAGATAATGCCTCTCCCATAGGGAATTATGAGTTAAATGGAACAGCAACCTAGAAGACTGCCTGGCCATGGAAGGTGCTCAGTAAAAGATAACTGTTGTTGTTGGCTGGGAAGAGAAAATGACAAAAGGCTCCCCTTTCTTGTCCCATGTGACTAGAGCCATGCAGCCTTCTGGGCTCTAACACCGAGGGAACAGCAACTGTGCCCTCCCTCCAGCTCCCCATGGCCCCTTCAGAGACCCTTTTAGGTAATTACTAAACCCATCATCCTGGTAGGCCTAAATATGGGAACCTCCTCCTCACAAACACTGTAGCTTGTTAGCACCGGGAAGCTTGTCCTGCACTTGGGACAAGTGAAGATGCAGCACATCAACCAGCATGTAAATGAAAGTGAAAAACCAACCAAGGAAATGTATTGTTTGATTTATGAGCAAATGGAAAAGAAAATAATGTTTTACCATTGCTTGGAAAAGGAAATGCAAATCTTGGGAAAGGGAAAAAAACACAAAAGGAAGAGATTTAAGCTTGGGAAAATTTGATGAAAACAAAATTAGGAGCAAAGAGAGAGAGAGAGATTTACTAAAATAAACAGAAGCTACAACTGTCTGTATAGAATACAAACAAGTGGAAAATTCCAGTAATCATTCTGGGTACACGTACTTTGTAGTCCATTTTGAATAAAGGCAATGACAAGGGATCTAATAACAGTATTTATTCCCAAAACAACTTCCAGAATATTTCTTGGGATTAGTATAGTTTTCTAGATCTGTTCGTTTAATTTTCTTACATTTTTGCCCTGTGCTTGTTGGCAATGAATGCTCATGATAAGGAAGTCTCATTTTTTTAAAGATGTAATTTGTCAAATTGTAAAGTATTTCAAATATTCATACAGTTTACATGTATATCCTCATATGCACTTCTTTCAAATACTAACAGTATACCACCCCATTTGTCTGAAAATTTTTCAGAAACAAGGGACTACAGGCACTGTTTAAGCCCTTATTTATCCTTTTGCCTCCCTAAGAGTAATCTCTATTTGGAGGTTGATTATGATAGGTATTTGTATATGTATTCTACACATGTATGCATTCATTCATAATATTTTTTGAATATTCTTAGCTTTATTTGAAAGCTAATAGGCTGTAGGCATCATTCTGGAATTTTTATTTAACATTGTTTTGCTGTCATATATAAGAATAGATGGTCTAATCTAAGGTCACTGATTTACTCCTTTATTTTTTCCTAAGAGTTTTATAGTTTTAGTTCTCTGATCCATTTTGAGTTAGTTTTTGTATTTGGTGTGAGGTAGGGCTTTATTCTTTTACATGTGGATATCTAGTAGTTGTCCCAGCAGCGTCTGGGATAATATTCTTTTCTTGTTGAATTGTCTTGGCACCTTTGTCAAAATTCAACTGACCATAATTATGAGGGTTCATTTCTGGACACTGTCTTTATTACTATAGCTTTGAAATGTGAGTCCCCAAACTTTCTCCTTACTTTTCAAGATTGTTTTGGCTTTGCATATTCATATGAATTTAAGGACCAGTTTGTTAATTTTGGGGTGGAGGGGACCAGTTGGAATTTTGATCATGATTGCTGTAAATCTGTACATCAATTTTGGGATTATTACAATGTTAACAATTTTGTCTTTCAGTCCATTAATATAGATGTATTTCTTAATTTCATTGGGGGAGTGTTCATTGCTACGGTATAGAAGTACGTTTTCTTTTTGTATGTTGATGTTGTATTCTGCAACCTTGCTGAACTCTTATTAGTTCTTACAGTTTTTTGTAGATTTCTTAGGATTTTCTATATACAAAATCTGTCATTATTTCTTCTAGTCTGACTGCCTCTTTTATCTTATTTTAGTTGCCTAATTATCTTGTGAAAAACCTCCAAAATAAAATAATGGTGTGCTTACTTTTATAAGATAAGGTACTTCCAGATCTTTTCTCAAAGTGGCTGTACCATTTTACACTCCTACAAGCAATACGGGAGTTCCGGTTACTCCAAATTCTTAGTTGTATTTGATGTTTCGGTCTCTTAATTTTAGCTGATCTTGTGGGTAATACTCTCTCATGGTTAAATTTTCATTTCTTCATCACTAATAAGGTTAAACACTTTTTTGTTTGGATATTAGCCATTTCTTTATCTTCTTTTGTGAATGTTTGATTAGATCTTTTGCCTATTTTTAATTGGGTTGACTTTTTTAAAGTAATTGAGTTGTGGGAGTTTTTTAATATATTCTTATTACAAGTCCTTTGTCAGATTTTGAGAATATTTTCTTACAATCCATGGCTTTTCTATTCATATTCATAAGTCTGGCTTTAGAGCAAAATTCTTAATTTTGACATAGTCTAATTCAGCACTTCTTTTATGGTCATTGCTTTCTGTGTTCTAAAAATCTTTACCTATTCCCAGGTTGAGAAGATAATTTTTCTTCTAGAAACGTTTTAATTTTAGATCTATATTCTATCTCAAGTTCATTTTCGTGCATGGTGTGATATGCAGGTCAGGGCTCATTTCTTTTCCCATATTGATGTCCAGTTGTTCCAGCTCTCCTTGTTGAAAAGACTATACAATCCTTACTCCATTAAATTGCTTTGATGCCTTTATTACTGATTTTTAAATTCTCACCTGAGGATATGTTTTTATTGATTTTTGTAACATTCTAATTCTAGGGGTAATGATATCTAGTGGTGTTTTTGTGTGTGTGTGCTCCTACTGCTGACATTGCAACCATCTTAAAAAAGAATCATACTTTGTTCTAGTGCCTTCATTTTTGTTTTTGTTTTTGCTTTCTTGGAGAAAAATATTCTGTTACTTCACTGGCATGTCAAAAATGTTAATTAGCTACATCAACCAGAGCCCTTAGGGCTTGGGAGGAACTTGTATGATAAGAACATTTTAGGATGTGCTTCTGAGTTCACCAGGGGAAATTTGCTCCCACATGAGGACATGTAACCCGGGCTCTGTACACCCCAAGGGAGCTGTCGGAGCGGAGTGATGTCAGGAGGGGAACGTGGAAGTGTTAGGGAGAAGCGCAGTAGGGGCTGTAGAGTATGTCTCTCCTGGTGAGTGGTGGTGACTCACAGTACAAGTCATATTTTCCACTCTTGGCAAGAAGATAAAAAATAGGGGAAATATTATGAGGCACTAGATTCACATCAACATGATAACATCTGAAAATCAAGTGGCCTTTCCTTCATCAACGCCTGAGGCACAGTTACTCCCCCAGAGTGTAGAATCGATGTGTTTCTGCTTAGAGTGCTGTCCCCCTCCCCTCACACTGGCCTTTCCAACTGCACTGGAAATGGAGCCTGGCAGCTGTGACCTAAGCTTTTTCCTAGCAAGGCAGCGCTTCCCTTTAAAACTCATTTTTCCATCTGTGTGGACATGGATTTTTCTGAACTATTTCATAGTGGAGATTTTATATGTCAGAGATCATGTGGCCTCATGAAGGTCTGTTCTTCACATACTAAGTGATAGGACCGAGTCATGGAGACACTGAGGCTCAATGACTTGCTGGGGTCACTGTTTCCCCTCCTGTCTGTCCTCACTGCTGCTACCAACTGTCCTCTACCTAACCCAGCCAGTCTGGGGGAGCCACAGAGTTGGTAGGAATTTGGGTCCTATATTTTAGGGGTAAAAATAAAACTGTCCAGAGGAGGTTACTTAACATAATGATTACAAACAGCTCTGGGGTCAGGCCGACCTCTGTTCAAATCTTGCTAGCTGTGTGGCTGTGGGCGAATCTCTTAACCATTTCAAGCCTCTGTTTCCATATATATAAAATAGAGATAATGCCTGCTTCCAAAGAATGTCTGAAAGTGTTATTGCATAAGACATTTCAAGCACTTTAAGTATAATGGCTGGCCCTTCGAAAATTCTCAACCTTTACCTGTTATTAGCATCACTTTCCTAGGGACACTGAAGGAAAGCTTCCAGGCCATTTTTAGCCCTCCACTGAATTGACCCCTTATCTGATCAAATTGATCAATTCTTTAGTATTTTGTGGATACAACGTACAGGATCCATACATGTGGTCTATTCTAGAAACTCCTGGTTACCCAGTTTTGCTTATAGCCCAACCAAATATTCTGAAAATTGGATGTTTAATAGTTGATATTTGTGATCCATTTGGAGATGTGTAGACACACTTTTATTTAAAGAACACTGATGATAATGAGCATTTATAGCATCATCTTTAGGTTAAGGGAAAGTTAGTTTTGTTTCCACCCTTTTCCTAATTAGCCTTCACCAGAGGAAAGTTTCATTCTAACTTAGCTATCAAAGATAGATGACTGTATCCTCGGAACAATATTTTTCAGCACGTGGCTTAAATTGTCAAAGGGATGGTACAAGGATTCCTAGCAAAACCAGAGGACATCAGGGGCCGTCATGAAAAGCTTGCAGAGGAGGAGCTGGGGCGCATGGGTCCAGCCTTCTTTGCCTCTGCTTTGCTTTGGGAAGTCACTGTCCTCATCTGTTGAATCGGGGTTCATGGAGCACCCCAGGAGTCCCTGTCGGAGAACTCCTGAGAGTCATGGCCC